ATATATATATATATACATATACTTTTAAATAATGATATGATAAATAACTGGCGAAAAGTCAAAATAAAACTAAATTAATTAAAATTGAAACTATTGAAGGTAGAAATTAAATCAAAATTAACACAAAGCCTAAAGGTATCTGTCTCAAAAAAATTCTGTTAATTTGAAAACACTATGAAAGTTTAAAAAAAATAGAAAAATAATTCCGTTTTTCGGAATTTTTGAACGAGAATTTGCACGATCACTTCAATTTTTTGAGTTGTTTCATCATTCTCACTCATTATTCACGCTAATTATTCGAAGTTGCTGGTAATGGCACATATTAGGTGAATTTGAGCAATAAGTAACAGATACAGATTTAAATATTTTTGAAGTTGCAGCTGACCGCAGCATCGGATTTAAATCGACTTGTAACGGACAGTTCTTCAATCTGACGCGACTGTTTGGGGCTCTGTACAATAAAAGGAATAAGGGAACAGGAAACACAGAATAAGAATTTCAACCAATCAGAAATCATGTATTGTGGAATACACAGTTTCTGATAGGTTGAAATTCTTATTCTCTGTTCTCTGTTCTTTTTATTGTGCGGAGTTCCTTACTGTGTTCGGGGAACGTATTACAATTATATAAATAAAAAAAAATCTGAAAGCAGCCTTTTTCGTGTGGCATATCAACGTCTACTTTTACGATAAGGAAACTAGAAACTTTTCTATTTTGTAAAATTATTGATAAAATCATAGTGTCGAAAATGGTGCGTGTCTGTGCTAATAACCAATCCTAGCAACTCTTATTAGATGGATGTATCAAGAAAAGGAAAGTTATTTTTTTAAAAATAACAATTTAAAAATAACGAAGTTATTGTTATATGTTACCAAGTCAAAAAAGTAATCACTTACTTATTATGGGTGCTTTTCATTTGATGACACAAATCGACACATATATTAAGTTCTATCCTTCTCTGATTCAGAGAGTGACAAAGATAGAACGACATTTGTGTCGATTTGTATCGACTTGTGTCATCAAATAGAAAACACTCTATAGTTACTGATTTTCAAAAGTAACTCGTTATCGTTAGCGTTACTTAATTGAAAAGTAATGATTCGTTAGAATAAAAAAATGTATTGGAAGAATTAATATGTGTTTGTAAAACTTGTCATATTTGCTTCCTTTCATAAATATGTAAATTTAGTTTTTTTTGAAAAAAGCAATTAAATAAAAAAATACTTTCCTAATATTTTTAAAAATATTAGATAAAAATAAAAATATTAATAAAATTTGTGCAAAATTTGCAAAACACACAAAAAAATTTAAGAAAAAAGATTTTAAAATGCTTAAAATATAAACAAAAATACTTGATTTTTTATTTCCATTTATAAATACAGTCAAAATGTATCTTTTTGTACTTGCAACTTTATATTTAAAAATTGTAATAGAATATTTTTACACTTATATATTTTGACTTAAAACTGTTCTTAAAATGTATAGAATTATGAGAATTATTCAGATCTAAGCTATAAAAATTAGGATATAGTATATCCTAATAAGATATAGCATAGAATTATTTGAATAATCTGGATCTGAACATCATGTATCATCTGAATCATCTGAATTATATATAAAATTGCAAAGATTAAGTAGAATTATATAAACTTATCAAATTTTACATTTTTTATTTATAATAAGTAAAAATTGATACCATAATAAGTAAAAATTGATACTGATTATATCATTATTTAAATGTCCTCTTGATGACAACATTAACGATTTTTTCGATTGCTCGTTGTTTCTTGACTTTGAAACTATCACACAAATCATATTTTATCATTTAAATATATCCTTCTATAGTTGCGAAAAAATAAAGTTTTACCATGGAAAGTTCAAGTATGAAAACGGAATCATTCTGATTGGTTAGTCTCTATTCTGTTTCCTTTCCGTTATTGTTCTGTTCCGCTGTTTCTTTCTCTATTGAGACGTAAAAATTCTTAAGACGATTTTAAATATAACAAATATCACACATTATAAATATCGATTAAAAATTGCAGATTGAATATACGAAAATTATGTCATAAAATATAATATAGGTTCAAAATATAAAAAGTAACAAGAAATTGTAAAATTCATTACTGTTACCAAAAAAATGTAACTATGTTACCGTTACAGTTTATTATATAAAAAAAGTAACGCCATTACAAAAAACCAGACTGTTATAAAAAAATAACTT